TTTTGCCTGAGTTCGATGTCTGATGCCGTTTTGTCTGAAGTCTGACGGTTTTTTTCCTGACACCCGAGTCCGTTTTGCCTGAGTTCGATGTCTGATGCCGTTTTGTCTGAAGTCTGACGGTTTTTTTCCTGACACCCGAGTCCGTTTTGCCTGAGTTCGATGTCTGATGCCGTTTTGTCTGAAGTCTGACGGTTTTTTTCCTGACACCCGAGTCCGTTTTGCCTGAGTTCGATGTCTGATGCCGTTTTGTCTGAAGTCTGAGGGTTTTTTTCATAAGACCTGAGGATGTCCTAAAATGAACACCGTATCCCAGGTAGGGCTGCACGACATCACATCGCAATGAACTTGCTATTATATGCTGCTTGCGCAATAATCCCCAGGGGCCGGTTGCACAAAACACCTTAAGTTTTCCCCTTAAGTATGACACTTAAGGTTTAATTTCTCCTTAGCTAAGGGATTTATTTAAGGGTGTTGCACAGAACCCTTTAAAAGGTTTCCTTAGTTAAGGAAAAACATGAAGGGATTTACAACATTGAAAGACGTTTTACAGCAGTAAAACTGTCCCGTTTCCATGGAGACAATTCATATGCTTGCACTCACGAGAGTGAGTTTTTTTCTGTTAATGTATCTTCATATCCTTCAAATCCTACGGGGGAGCAGACCTGTCATAAAAACACATGTTGATGCCTTACAATACCAAACTTTTTCCAACCATAACCCTGGCCTCAGTGTGCTAACCCTTACCCTAATTTGGGGCCTTATGGTGAAACAACAGGCTTTTGGAAAGTAGGAAAAATGCTATGAAATCATGGGAGCTTGAATCCTGATGTGGGTCCCATCTATCACCCCGCACACTCTTTGGAAGCTGGCTACATTAAAGAAGTGTGTCGCTATTTCATCCTCGTCTTGTTTTGAGGGTGGATTTCACCACGATGTTCAACAGATGGGCAATGGCGTTTGAAATTCAGTGAATGACGCAGCACACCGTTTACTTGTGGACATGAGATACATCACCTATTACAGCCCAGAACGAGCCCATAGCATAAAACCACAGAGCAACACAGCTGGGAGAGCACAGCTTCGGATTGTGGAGTGATCCAACTGTAGACGATCGGACAAATCATAAATTGACTGCCAGTCAAATTTATAAAGTAAAATCAAATCGTATCTAAGGGGTTCTCCCGGTCGCGGAAAACTCTTTTTGAGATGCGTATAATCTTTTCCTCCTCTGACCAATTTGGCTTTCTTGTCTTCTTTTCTCCCATTTTTTTTTTTACTTTTTTAGTAACTTTGTGAGGCGATAACGGGTATCACAAGCAGACGCGAGTGCAAGCATATGAACTGTCTCCATGGAAACGGGACAATTTTACTGCTGTAAAACGTCTTTCAATGTGTAAATCCCTTAATGTTTTTCCTTAACTAAGGAAACATTTTAAGGGGTTCTGTGCAACACCCTTAAATAAATTCCTTAGCTAAGGAGAAATTAAACCTTAAAGGGGAAAACTTAAGGTGTTTTGTGCAACTGGCCCCTGGTGATTATTATTCATCCATCCATCCATCCATGAGCTTCCGCTTATCCGAGGTCGGGTTGCGGGGGCAGCAGTCTCAGTAGGGAAACCCAGACTCCCCTCTAACCCGGCCACTTCTTCCAGCTCCTCTGGGGGAATCCCGAGTCGTTCCCAGGCCAGCCGAGAGACATAGACCCTCCAGCGTGTCCTGGGTCTTCCTTGGGGCCTCCTCCCAGTGGGACATGCCCGGAACACCTCACCAGGGAGGCGTCCAGGAGGCATCCTGACCAGATGCCCGAGCCACCTCATCTGGCTCCTCTCAATGCAGAGGAGAGCGGCTCTACTCTGAGTCCCTCCCGAATGACTGAGCTCCTCACCCTATCTCTAAGGGAGAGCCCAGCCACCCTGCGGAGAAAACTCATTTCGGCCACTTGCACTCGCGATCTCGTTCTTTCGGTCACTACCCACAGCTCGTGACCATAGGTGAGGGTAGGAACATAGATCGACTGGTAAATCAAGAGCTTTGCCTTTTGGCTCAGCTCCTTCTTCACCACGACAGACTGATGCAGCGCCCGCATCACTGCTGATGCCGCACCAATCCGCCTGTCGATCTCCCGATCTCATCCACCCCCGGGGCCTGGCCACTGAGGAGCTTTTTAACCACCTCAGCGACCTCTGCCCCAGAGATAGGCGAGTCCACCCCCAAGTCCCCAGACTCTGCTTCCTCATTGGAAGGCGTGTCGGTGGGATTGAGGAGGTCTTCAAAGTATTCGAATGAGGAGGGCTTCGAAGAATTCCCTCCTCCGACCCACAACATCCCAAGCTCGTTCAGGGGATTGCCGCCGCGAGAAGCACCGACCACCTTACGGCCAATAACATTAGAAGTCCAATAATAAAAAACCAGCCGGGTTCAGATCGGGGGGGGCGTTCCTCCCAATCATGCCTCTCCAGGTCTCACTGTTATTGCCCACGTGAGCATTGAAGTCCCCCAGCAGAACAAGAGTGTCCCCGGGAGGAGCGCTCTCCAACACCCCTTCCAAGGACTCCAAAAAGGGTGGGTATTCTGAACTGCTGTTTTGCGCATAAGCACAAACAACAGTCAGGACCCGCCCCCCCACCCGAAGGCGAAGGGAGGCTACCCTCTCGTCCACTGCGGTAAACCCCAATGTACAGGTGCCCAGTCAGGGGGCAATAAGTATGCCCACCCCAGCTCGGCGCCTCTCCCCGTGAGCAACTCCAGAGTGGAACCATATGCACCATATAATTGTGAGTACATTGCAATGTGATGCAATATTGTGCAGCCCTTGTTATCAAATTAACAAGCAATTGTACACCTCTACAGGTGTATGTGGAAGTAATTTTGAGTGAAAATTAAAAATACATAGCATCTTACAGTGCCAGTCCTTAGGAGCCAGGTACTGAGCAAGACATCTTTAAAGTGGCACCTAACCTGAATTAGAGCCCTTCATTGGGATTGAGGTCCTGCGGGACGGAAATCTCGTGGGAGCAGGCGGTTTTAAGGTTGCCGCGGGCGAGAGCGGACGGCTAAAAATAGACAGTGGATCCCAAGATTTTTGGCAGGATGGAGAACGTAATTGATGTTGATAATAAAATTTTTGTGTTGTGAGAAGTGTGGCAAAGTGCTTGGATACAACAGGCATAAATCTGGCACTTCAGGGTTGAGGCGACACACCTGCTTCCAACACTATTTTGTGTTATATATTCGTGTTTGTTCTGAGCCATTGTATTAAGTTGTGATGTTCAGCTAGTTACAGTAGTTTCTTTGAAATAGGGTTCAGGGTTCTCTTCTGTTTTTAAGCTGCTCTTGTTTGTTTATAATAATGTGATGGCCCCCTCTCATTTATAAATTTCTTATGTTCTTATGATACTTAAACATTTGTTGTATAGATTTGTCTTATTGATTTTTTTTAAATAACTGCAGATATTTGCACATCTGATTAGTTTTTGGGCTCAAAATTAAAACAATGAAACCATATAAACTTATTTCATCGTACAGAATATTCGTTAATGGGTCTGTGGGTGTGGGAGGGATTGGACAGAAATATTGTGGGAGCGGGTGAGAGTGACAGAGACAGACAGAGGGAGTCAGCGGTAATGGTCAGAAATTCAGTGGGAGCGGGATTAAAAAAAACAGTCCCGTGCAGGGCTCTAACCTGAATGACCAGCATGTCCTGCCGCAGGTCATCACCGTGTTTAAAAATCATGCCCACAGGGGGGTCAGAAGGTCCTTGTGAAGCTGGAGAGGAGAATTCCAACCACAATGGCTTCTTCTTGGAGGCCATCACTTTGCATCTATCCAGCTGGGGAAAGTGTAAAGCACCCCGTAAGAGAAACCAAAAACATTCATGAATAATTTTTGCAAATTTGTGGGAATACAAAATAGGTCTCATAAACAAAAGTTCTCAAACAAGAACTACTTGGAATAACACTACTTGGATGGACAAGATAGCAATATAGCGTACTTTGTTATGAATCACCAAACTGATAAAACACATTGCTTCAACCTAATACTGGTGAACAAAAAAAAGTGATAATACCCATAACTTAACGCACCATGATTGCCCCTGCTCTGACTCGGGGGTCGTAGGGCACTTGGAACTCGGATGGAAGGTTGCAAGATCTCAGCATGTCCTGCAGCTGTTGGGCAGCTGATTTATAGAATAGCGATACTTTATTAATTCCCATGGGGAGATTCTCTTTGCCCCATCTTGCTTTCCATGAGACACATACAAGTAAGAATAAGCTGAGGAGCCACAGCAAAGCACCAGACCTCTGGCAGCGCCCAGGGGGCTATGGGTCATGCTCAAGGGCCCACAGACATATGACCATTTTGCTGAGGCTGGGCTCAAACCAGCAACCATATGATCACAGGCATAGAGGCTTATCCCGCTGAGCCACATATTACAAAACAGCAGTGCATGAATATTTATTTATCAAATTATTAACATTTTCATTTGGGTAAGCTCTTATCTCATAGAATAAATGATATTTGCATACAGACCTGCAATCCTCTAAGAAATTAATGGATTCACATTTTATTAATTTATTTTAATGACTACACACTAATTTAGCAATACAACTTACAGTAGCAATACAGTACCCCATTACCCGATAAACATTACCAGTAGCTGAGAGGTCAGTCTTCTCAGGGAAGAGCTTCTTTATGTCAATGGCCACCTTGTGTAGACACTCAACCAGCTGTACCTGCTGGAGGAAGCTTGTCAGCATAGCCTGTCCACAGCCCAGCAGGTAGGCCTCCAGCACCACAGCAAGCCGCTGCTGGAAGTAGGGGAAGCCGGACACCTCGCTACGCAGGTACCAGAAGAAGAAGTGGCCGATTCTCTTACTCTGTGTATGAAAAACACAAAGTGGAATTGTCGGGCATATGTGGTAGGCCAAATCCTCACATGTGTGTGGTTTATAATATATAGTGATAATAGAAAGAGATCATTCAGAATTTACGAATTTTCAGACTGCCAGTGAGTAGTAATGACGGGTGCTTGGCTAAACATTTCCGTTATTCTTGCAATTTTACTTTACTGTTTTTTTGAAAGACTCATGCAGCTGTCTCACACTAACATTAGTGGCACATGCATGATTATAGGAGAATGCAGTGCTTAAGTGAAATCCAGGTCCCTTTAATTGAAATGGTAATTTACAAATCCTGTCCTAGATCAAAATGTCCTCCGTGACTTGGATTATTTAGTTACCCTAAGTAATGGGGGAACTTCTCCCTGAGGTGGCTTTGAAGATTTGTGCCTGATATGAGCACTTTCCTGAGCTCAATTCTGTTTTCAGTGTCTAATGATGGGTTTAACAAACGTCCTCTCAAGTTTTTGTTGGTAACTCAAATATGATGAATTGCAGTAAAAAAGTACTTTACTCAAGTCAATCAGAACTGTATCTAATACAGAATACCACCCAATGTGTGCAGCCCAACAGGAGTTATACATAGCAGGCAATATGGGACATAGACTGATATAGGATTCAGTTGCAAGTGGTAAGAAATCCGTTACTTGATGGGGTACGATTAGATTACCACCACGAGTTGGGATCAGTGCACCTGAGTAAATCCATACACTTTCAAATAAAACTTTAATTATACTCCAGGACCACTCATCTTAATAATAGCATATACTCATTGCACAAAAGGATGTGAGGCTGTCATCTGTCTAGGGTGGGAGAAACAGCTCACCCATATTAATCAAGGTTATTTTTGTTCACCTGTATCTGTTTCCCTGTGCGCGTTTAAATTACTGTGTTCTGTTCTGTTTCACACCCAGTATACTAGAGCAGAACAATGATACCATTCCTGGCATCCTTAGTCACAGCACTATTAGTTTATTCCATTCAAAAGTAGCATGCATTTTCCTGGAAGAACTAACAGCATTTTTGCCCCCCCCCCCACCTTTTTATCATAGATTTGTCCCATCCCCATTCAAATCCCATCTATACCTACAATCCTTTCGTTTGCACAATTCACCATAGTCCGTCACCACAATTCACCATGCCATCTCACTTACAATTCCCACAGTTAGGGTAGTCTTGTTTCACATATTGACGAGCATGGTAGAATACTTACTCTAAGGGCCCTTTGGATGAGGAATCGTGCCAGATAACTGTCATGGTATGGCTCAACCTTCAAGGTCTAGGAAGAATGGCATAAATGTTAGGATATCATTTTATTGCAGCTTTTGACATGTGTTAAAAGTATAACTGCAAAACATAATTTTAGAAAAAAATTAATTCCTAAAATTGTCATGTATTATCAAACGAGTACGTTTTAGTATTCAATAAGCAGAGTATAAAATACATGCTACGATAAATAGACATGGAATACATTTTAATTTTATTATAAGTAAATGTGACTTACAGTATGTCTAGTCTAACTTATTTTTAATGAAGGAAATTATACTCAAGAATTTTCTGATCACCTGGACTAGTTGTAGTAAGTACCTCTGCACCTCTTCATTACTCAGGGTTTCCAGCTTCTGGACTGCTAGCCTCCTGACCATCTTATCAGCAAAGTCCACACTGAGTAGCTCGAGAGCAATAGGCACTTCCAAGTCTTCAGGGTCCCAGTTGGAGAGCAGCCAGTGGATATCCTGAACTGCATTGGGATTTAGCCAGTTGACGTTTCGGAGAAACTGGGGAAGGTTAGAGCCATAGTGGACACTCTCTTCTCTAAACCTCCTTAAGGAACTCTTGTCTAATGTCTCCTTACTAGAAAATTGTGACGTTTCTCTATTACCAGACCCAGGGCTCCTCTGGTCTGATCTTGATTGCTGAAAAACCTCGTCTGTGTTGTCTCTATACAAGGCCCCAGAAGAAGCACAGATCCCGGGAGAGTTGTAGCTGCTGGGGAGAACTACAGGGAAGCTGTACCTGTCCAGCAAGAAGGTGATAGCCATTGAATTGGTTTGATCAGGGTTGGTAGCAGACGAGAGCTTGTCTGCCTCATAAGTCAATGCCTCTTCGTCATGCTCAGGGAATGGCCACATGTACAGGGTGTGCAGCCCTTGGCTTAGTATAGATCTGTGGTCGATGAGAAGAAGATTTACAAAGAACAATACCTTTCCTTTGCCTTTTTGGTAATCAGGTGTTTTGACTTCTGCAGATGGAGGCTTTGACTCCACAGCCGCATTGCTGTCAGGAGTCGTGGCATTAACTGTGAGACTCAACTTGGCACCATATGGTAAGTTCTTAAGGAGAAGGTCAAATTCAAGCCACTCATTCCACAAAACTTCATCCGAAAATGGCTTTGACAGTGAGCAGACTGAGGACAAAACCTTGTTCCCATAAAGCACAGAGGCTTCAACTTGAATATATTGGGGGGCTTTGCTGGGGAGCTGGGGTATGTCTAAGCCCACCAGCTTCACTCTCAGTGTTCGGTCACAGTCCATTAGTGATATCATCATGATGTCATCCAACTCTTTATTTGAAAGAGCAAGCTCCTCATGAGAACTGGGTAGTCCAGTAAAGCTGTCTACTAGAGGCCAATCCTCTGACCTTACTGTGTCCTCCTCTAATGATGCAATGGGTAGCACAGACAGGTGGAGCCCCTGCATGGTCTTCAGACAGTGCCGTACCCATAGAAAGTTTGAGAGTGGATAGTCTCCACTGAGGAATTCCTCTCTCCCACAGACCTTTAATGTCAAGTAGGCAACTGTATATTCCAAGGCAAAACCACTGTCAAACATCCTTTGGATGAATGTCTCAATTAGGTCACTTGGAAAATCATTAATGTCCACTTTAAAATTACAGTTCTTATCATTGTAATACAGAGTGACGAACAGGTCACAAGAAAGCAGTGACTGCTGTTCTTTTACAAGTGGTGATGAGGTGACCCAAGGCTCCAGGGCATAAGTTCTGGTGTCACGTCTCTGGAGTTCCTCTTTACGGGGTGCAGCAAACTTCCGGCGGGCAAAGTTAAGTTCCCCTAGTCGATTAGATGCGGCAGTGCTGAGGTCGTACCCAATAAGGTAGGTCAAAAGCTGGTGGAACCTCTCTGCCTCCTCTGTAACTTCAGGAAGAGGTGCCAGTACAATCCTGGCCATCTTTTTACCATTGGCATCACACTGCCATTCAGCATTCAGTGTATGCAGGACCTGGTGATCATCGTGGATCTCATACCATTCACCTCCCTTAATATATAGAAGCTGGTACTGCTCCGGGTCAAGTAAGCTGAAGGGATCTAAGAGAGAGTTCTGCTCTTGGGCTTGAATGCAGATACGCAGCCGCAGCTGATGAACATTGCAGCGACTTGGCAGCTGAACCTGCACTGTTTCTTGGTTGTGTTTCAGCTGGTGGTCTTTCTTAGGGCGAAGTTCACAGATGAATGCTAGGACATTGTCAGTTGAACTGATTGATCTTGAGGACAATGTTCTTGGCAGAGAACCACTGCCACTAGCTAACAGCTTTTGTCTCTGATCAGAGATCTGTTCCATCTCCATGTCTACATGAATCAGAGGGGGAATAACCATTATAATTAGTGCAATTATAAGCTTAAACTAAAATTCAGGTAAACCTATAAATGTCAACAAATATTTTCTGAAAATATATCTGCATATTATGCTCCCAACAATAGCTGTCATGGGGGGAAGTCATGTGTTATTCACTTTGGTTAATTCCGCTTCTCCCTCCTTCATTATTGGTGTGTTACGATGACGTGAACAGACATGTCGAGGGGTAGGTGCTCGAACAGGTGGGCGTGGCCGACCGGTCCTTTTTGCCAGCCTAGTGGGGGGGGGGGGGGGGCAGGGAGGTTCTCCTCGGTCAGTTTAAGGAGGGAGGGGTCTTATTTTTTTTAGCTTTCGCGGAAATGGGCACTCGGAAAATCAAACGTGTGATGGGGGCACTTTCAGTTGTTCAGACGAAAGGGACAGGTGCGCCCTGGTACCCCCTCTCACGTGCCTGGCGCGTTATGAGCTGACGAGAATCCTTGTTTTTCACTATTCTGCCCTGTGTTTTACCCTTACTAGTACACTCTAAAAATGACGAATTTAACGATCTAACCAGTTTATTTCTAGCCCAGTGTATGTGACGTGTTTCTGTTCGCTGTCAACACTGGAGCAATTTTCAAGACTGATCTGATTTTTATTACTGTGTCGTATACACCTGTCACCCGTCAGAATATATTAACATTATTGCTGAGTATAGAAAAAGAATTATGTACACCCGATCAAAGCATTCCGTCAAAAGCAGTTTAAATCGTCCATTTGTAATTTTACGTATGTAGCCTAATTGTTTCTCTGAACATGTTATTTTTTCTCTGAATGTTATCTGTTTGAACACATTGCGAAAATATTTGCTAAATATTAATTTGTAATGTAATTTGCGATTTTCATACGTTATTTACTAGCGTCAGTGTGCGGAACACGGAAATCAAAGTTAACTAAATTTTACAACTGAAATTACAGTACATACAAATAATCGAAGCACGGAAGAAACCCGTGTGAAAACCATTTGAACGCATTCCAAAGGGAAAGGGTAAAACTTGTAGATGGTTAGTATTACTGTATCGTTAAGTCCCATTTATATTACGTATTTAAAATTGAAAGTCGGTATGCATTAGTTTCAAGTTATTACAAGCCATTATATCAAACGTGCTTACCGTGTTAATGTTGTGTTTCTGTCTCATCCAAGTCTTCTGTTTAGGTGGTGCTGTGTGAACTTAAAAGCGTTTTGAGATCGACTGCAATGTCTAGCAGGAACAACGTTTTCATCTCTACTTCCCCATTCCTTTGTGCATGCTTACCTGAAAGGTGAGGCAAGAAGGAACTACAATTTTACCCTTATACTTCCTCTTTAGTATAGTAGAAGGGTTAATGGGACAAAATGTGAGAAGTCCGACTTGTGAGGAGTTCATCTAAATAATTAAATAGTTTAAAAATAGGCTCATAACTCAATGTCGTAATAGAGGGATGATTATTAAATAACATTCATTGATAGTGTTTATTTTCCTTAAATTTAACGCTATATGTCAACTTATTCAACTTAAATATGTAACTATAAGATAGAACTGAGCAGAGCCACAGAGTTAGCTGCAGACTTCAATATGAAACAGTCCCTATATGAGATCATTTTGTGCCTAGTGGTAATTCTACACTTGAAATGGAGTTGACTGTTTCTCAGTGGATTAAACATTACAAACTGATGTTTAAAAGTTCAGTCTATTAATGATAAGCCAAAGGGAGGAAATGTCCGACTTCTTTTATTGCAAGTGTGTAATAAAAATAATTTCAATATCAATTTGGGTTATAGGTTGATTCAAATTCCATACAAATTGTTATGATCGTGTCCGGGTAAGCAGGAGCAGGGAGATGGGTAATTGGGAAATGGGGTTTATTGAGGGAACTAGGGAAACGCAGACTTACATATGCAGGACTACTCAGAAATAACATGAAAGCTGAATACAATCAGGAATTTACACAAGATAATGAGGGGGCGTGACACACGGAAGGATTGTACAAGTACTGTAGGTCATGACAGAACCCCCCCCAAAGGAGCACACTCCGGGCGCGCCTCAGGGGAGGCGACGGACGAGACGGGACTGGGGACACGGGACCTGGAAGACAAAAGCAAAAGCATTAATAGGGTACCGGAAACAGGATGGACACGCAGAACAGGCACAGGGACAAGAAACAGGACAACCACTGACAGACCACAGGGAACGTAGATAGGCAGAGGGGCACCAGAAAAGGAGACACAGGGAGAACACCCACAGGAGGAACGAAAGGGCCAGGAGTGAAAATAGGAGACATAGAAGGACGATGAGCAGGCTGGAAGGAGAAAGGCAGGGGAAAACGGGGAGCTTGAAGGAACCCCAGCGGGCGAGAGGTGGCCGCTGCAGGGGCAGCAGGCGACCGCAAGGTTGGAGTCGGAGGGGACCTAATATGGGGCAAAGAGGCTGACGGAGGACGGAGAGACAGGGGAAGGAGGTGAGGAGGGAGTCGGAGGGGCCACTAGGGGAGGCAAGGAGGAAGTCGGAGGGAAATCTGCTGCAGGCGAGGAGGGAGGTGGAGCCGCCGCAGGTGACGGCGCAGCCACAGCCGATGAAGGCGCAGCCGACCGACGAGTCGGAGGAGGGGAACCCGCAGGCAACCAAGGAGTCGAAGCAGGGGAACCCGTAGGCGACCGAAGGGGCATTGAAGGCGGAGCCAAAGGCAGTCGACGAGCCATCGGAGAGGGACCTGCAGGCAACAGCCGGAGCCGGAGGACCCACAAGTACCCCTCGAGCCATAGCCAGGGAGACCAAGGGCGAGTCAGGGGGCAGGGTGGGTGGAACATGACTCTGGCATCAGTGCCCTCTCCCTTTCCGGGAGACCGACAGGTGGGGTCCTGGCCGGGATCGCCCACGTTGGGGTAATGGCGGAGGAGTCAGTCCCCTTTAGGGGTCTATTGGGGCCATCAGGGAAATCCCTGAGGGATCCCATTTGAGCTCCTCTTCCCCCAAGGGGGAAGTAGCGGTGTTCTGACAGTCTGGGACCTCCTCAGCGACAGGGACTGGTGATGTGGGAGTTGGGACAGGAACCAGGTCGGGCAGAGCAGGAGTCGCTACGAGCAGAACAGGGACGGGCGGATCTGGGGCCAGGACATCAGGCGCGGGCGGAGCCGGGGCCGGGACATCAGTTGTAGGCGGAGCCGGAACATCAGTCGCGGGCGGGGCCGGGACATCAGTAGCGGTTGGAGCTGGAGCATAGGGTGCGGGCGGAGCCGGAGCCCCTGTGGGTGGCACGTCAGCCGGCAGGACTGGAGCCCTTGTGGGTGGCACATCAGCCGCCGGGACCGGAACCACAGGGGGTGCTGCAGGGGCCTCGGACACAGCAGGAGTCTCTGCGAGCGGCGGTGCAGGCTCTGGAACCTCCAAAATGTCAGGCAGGCCAGGAACAGCAGGCAGGTCAGGTACATCAAACACAGGCAGATAAGGAACGACAGGCAGGTCAGGAACGACGGGTATAGCAGCCAGAGTTAGCACCTTAGGAGCAGGCATTGCACCTTTAAGAGCCTTCAGGACCCCGCAGGATAGCGTCCCAAACAGACTTGGCCCCTTTAAGAGCCAGGTGAGTCCCGGAAAAGGGATGCGCTGCTGACCGTGGCTGCGTAGCCATGGGCAGGCACTCCAGAGTGGCGGCAGCAGCCTCCGGCATGAACATTGCCGGGTTCAAACTCGGGAGGGGCTCCTCCCGATAAGCAGCAGGGCAGGCAGCAGAGAGGGATGAAACAGCAGAGATAGAGACGGCTCCTAGGAAGATCGTTGGTTCTTCCTCTGGTCTTCTTCCTTTTCTTCCGGCCAGGTGTCATAAGCGGAGGTCGAGGCATCTCAGGAAGATCTGACGGCTGATTTGAGCCCAGCTTACTGTGGAGAGGTATAAGCTGGGTCCTCCTCTCAGTCATGTGCTGCAGCAGCTGCTGGAGGTTTTCATGCACCTTGTTCATGTGG